CCCTGCTGGTGGTTGAGAGCCGCAAGGAGGTGGACGAGGCGAAGGAGCTCGTCACCATCTGCAAGGATTACGCCATTGGCCTGCTGTGCGAGCTCAAGAGGAAGGTGAGGGGGTGACGTCATCGTGCGTCATCGTGTGGGCAAATCCGCGCACACGCTGCACCCGCACACGATTGCACACAGGAATCGAAACCTCGCACGCATGCAACCACACACAATGTAAACGCGACACAGCCACACAGTCACACACACGTGCAGTACACACACGACACACACACACACACACACCATCACAAAATGCCCACACCCCTCCAGGAGGTTGGCGCGGAGGACGCGGCCCGCGCGGCCGAGCTGGCGGCCTACTTCACACACTGCGCCCTGCAGGTGCGACAGGGGGCGCCCAACGCCACGCCCGCCACGGCGCCGCGCCGCGCGGGCGCACACCGCCAGCCCGGCCAACCCGTCTTACCTCGTTCGCCCCGCCTTCCTGCAGCATCCTGCCACACGACCCTGTCAAGCCGTTGCCTCCAAATCCTCAGACAGCGCACACGTGCATGCATGCTCATACACAGCGCTTTCATGCCTCCTCCCCTCACGCACACACACACACACACACACACACACACAATGCACAACACACATACACATACATACATACACACACACAACACACAACACACAACATGCGCACACGCCCCCCCCCCCGCAGCCGGTGCACCTGGCCCTTAGCCTGCGCAGCGCCATGGCGATCTTCTTCAAGCTGCGCAACTTCGCCACCGCCGCCACCTTCGCGCGCCGCCTGCTGGAGCTCAACCCCGGGCAGAAGATGGCGCAGGCGGCGCGGCAGGTGCTGGTGGCCTGCGAGAAGACGCCCGTGGACGAGGTGGGTGGGTGGGGGGTACGGGGGGCAAAGGCGGGGCTGCGGGGCCGCACGACATGCGCTGTCGTCAACCGCGGCGCATTCTCCCGCGTGCGCCGCGCTTCCTTTATGCCTTCCTCAACACCCATTAAAACACTGTATTCGCGCAGACACACAAACGCGCACGCACGCACGCACACAAGACACACACAACAAATACACGCACATGTCACACATACACACACGAGACACACACACCGTTCCGAATTATCCTCCCCCTTCCCTCTCCCTGTACCCTCCACCCCCCCCCCCTCAAAAAGGTCCCCGTGAACTATGATGCGCGCAACCCCTTCGACATCTGCACCATCACTTTCACACCCATATACCGCGGCTCAAAATTCGCAGAGGACAGGTGGGGGCGGTGGGGGGGGGTGTGTGGGGCGAGGGAAAACGGATGAGAGGCCGATTGCAGCCGCATCCCGGGCGGCTGCCGTCGCGGCTCGCTACATTTGGGGGGGAGAGAGAGCAAAGCGCGTAGGGGCGTCTTAGGGAGCGGCCCCCTTCCGCACGCCCCCGCTTGGCCTGCACCGAGGAGCATCACGGCGGCGTGGTGGCGGAGGAATCAGCGGCCCGAGCTCTGGCCGCACCCTGCCATCGAGCTGGCCTCACATGACACCACAACAGCAAGCACCCACCCCGGCCCGCGCCACCGGAATGTGGCACGCCGCGGGCGACGCGCGTCCGCTGCCTCTGCCCCCCCCCCTCCAACAAACACACACACACACACACACACACACGTACACACACACACACACACACACATCGCGCCCACACTCCCCCCCCTCGCCAGGTACACCGGGGCGCGCTTCCAGCCGCAGTGTGAGGGCCAGGTGTCTCCTGTCGGCGAGTTCTGCAAGATCGGCGCAGACGCGGGGGGCCTGGTCATCTCCCCCACGCAGCTGCGGTGATGTCACCGTGACGTGATCGGCAGGGGCGGCGCCGCGCCGCGGCGGTGCCATGGCCCTGCGGCGCGGCGGCGCCCGGTCCGTCTGCCACTCTGTTTTTTGTACTCGCTGCGTCGCGGTTTGGGGCTAGCGAGCGCTGCCGCCGTGGCTCCCGGCGCGTGCGGCCTGGTGGGCTTCACTTTGCTGTGAGTGCGCTCGCTTTGATGTGTAAGCATCCATTGAGTGTCCTCTTTTGACGGAAGGGGGGTCTTGTGCGCTCGCGCGGCTGAGGGTGGGCTTGTAGCAAGGGGCTGCTGGGATTTGCAGGGCATCAAGGCAGCCAATCAGCCAACTGTGGGCGAGCCAAGTGCGATCCAGGGACGTGGGCGGTCCGCCCACATCATGCGGGCCAGGGTCAATTATTAATCTTAGGCATTCGGCGGCGCCCATGTGCTTTTGCAAAAGGCAGCACCGCCACCCCCCGTGCCCGCCGCGGCGCCCCTGCCGCCCCCCAGACACGTGGGTACCGGCTAGCGCGTCTGGCCGGGCGCAGCATCCCCGCCCCTGCCTGTTTTTGCGCCAAAAAGGCGGCCGCGGGGAGCCGATCACGCTACGCTTCAAATGCTGCTTTACAAATGGACGCGAGCATCCACGTCCTCGAAAAAAACAACCCATATCATCGCAGCGCAAAGGCTGCTGAAGCCAGCCCAGCAGCCGCGCCACCCCAGCATCCCCACATCAAAAGCGCTAGCGATGAAAGCCGCTGCCGCGGCATCACCAGCCCGCCCCCTCGAAACACCATGTTTTAGGCGCGGTCCCCGAGGGAGGCGCCCCCGGCCGGCGATCCAAAAGCCGCCCTGTGCTTTGCTCATACCCATGTGCAATGCTCCATGCCAACCAGGCTCGACGCGGCAACAGCCACGCCTCTCCCTGGGGGGGGGCGCCTCAAAGGTGGTTGGTGAGTGTGCGCGTGCCCGGCGTGGTGCGTCCGCACTTCATAAGTAGTTTCCCCCAGCGCAGGTGCGGGGGTGAGGATTTCGCGCCGGCAAAGAAAACCCCACAAGCCTCACGCCAATCTGATGACGGGTGTGTCTTGAGCAACAGGATTGTACCAGGAAGTAACCGGCAGATAGCAGAAAGTATCAAAAGCGTCCCGGCTTCCGAGCCGGGCGCAGGTCGGGGTCATCATAATAGTCGATTAGTCAGAGGCAGTGGGGCAAAGGTTGAGGGCGGGTGGCTGCCTGGGGCACGACCGTTGGCCGAGCCCGTCCGCAGCACCACGGCAGGAGCACCGGCATGCGCACACATACAGCGCTGCGGTGCAGGTTTGAGCCCTGACGGCGGGATGCATTTTGGGACATCATCATCAAAGTGCGGGCCCATCCCCTTCACACAACAAATGCTGGCAGGGACGGCCGGCGCCGCGAACGCACGAGCGGCCGCACAAAAATAGCATTGGCCCCCCTCCCCGCATCCATCAAACAGCGCCGGCACGGGGTCATCGAGGCTGTCAGTTTGTGGTCTCGCAATGGCATAGCAGGGGCACCGTAACCCACAGGATCGTTTCCAGGGGTGACAAATCATACAACGGCATCAGAATCCGCCGACGAGCAAGTACTGTTGAGTCACTGCCTCAGGCGCGTCGCGAGGGCGCGGGCACGCGCGCTAGTGCAAAACAACAGGCGCTGGCGCCATGCAGCCACGGCCCCGCATGCAGAGGGCCGGCGTGGCTCCCGGGGGGCGGTGCGGTACAGTGTTATATGATATGGCATCACATGACGTGACGTGACGTGAGGTGATGTGATGTGATATGATGTGATACGATATGATATGATATGATATGGTGTGGTATAATGCATGTAAGATGAAGCCGGCAGCACCACTCGATGATGTCACCGCCATCAGCCGTCCAGCTCCCAGCCCGAGCCACCTTACTCTCTGCACCAAGCAGCGCTGCGGCACCGCGGCGCCGTGGGGCCCGTCGCCCCTTGCGGGAGGGCCCACGACTCAGCTCCAGGGCCCCTCGCTGCCCAAATGCCCCTACCCTCCCACAGGATGGCAGCCCGACGGCGCCTCCTGCGCG